GTTGGAAGAGACGCCAAAAGTTCTTCCAGCCCGGACAGCGCGTGGTTCTTGGGTTTGAGGCCAGGTGGTTTCTTCTTTCTCACCCCAGCCCTTCTCCCCTCAGGGCAGCACACACTCGTCCGCTGGCGGTGAACCCCGCCAGGGAAGCCACCTGTCTCAGACCCTCAACTCCAAAGCGCTGAGGCACTGGCAGGGGGTGGGGGCGGGGGGCGGTTAGTGCAAGAGGAGGAGGAAGGACAAGGTCAGGTGACCCAAGAGCCTCAAGGGGTCTTGCTTCATTCGGGACAGACATCCGGTTTCCTCTGGTCTCTGCCAGGATTCCGGGGGCAAAGGGATGAGTCATGGGGGGATTGGGGAGTTCCCAGATAATCAGTTCAGGATGGAAACTGGGAGGATGCCCATTAAAGTGTGGGGTGGGAACAGGAGGCCAGACCCCAGTGTCCTTATCTCAGGTCTCTGGCCCCTCAAGAGGGCAATCAGAGAGGCAATTTCTGTCGCCTGGGACTTGGGGGGGATAGAAATGAGGCAACTAGCTTCTTCCTCCTCCAAACTGGGGGCCTGGGAGCAGGTGGCTTAAGGATCCCAAGAGAGAGTGGTTAATGGGCCTGACTCAGGAGATACGCCAGGGGAGGAAGGGAGGGAGGAGGGCCCCAGGCCTGCCTCTTCCTTGAGGTTCAACCAGACTCCAGCCTCCCCGGCTTTTATCGTCGGCTCCGTTTGGTTCAGCGGTTCAGTTCAAACACCCTGGGGCAATTCAGACCTGGGTGGGGCTGAGGGGAGGAAGGGAGTTTGAGGGGGGCAAGACGTCAAAGAAGAATCAGAGATTCCACAATTTCACAAAACTTTCGCAAACACTTTTTTTTTTGGTCCCAACCCCCCTGCGCTGTCCTGAACAACAAATTTGCATAAAACTTGGGAAGCTATTACTAAGCGTTAGTCGCAGCACCAGGTAATTTCCTCCCAGGCCTCCATGGGCTTAAATATAAAGGCCCCCGGAGCTGGTCCCTGACAGAACCCAGAACCTACAGACCCACCCAGACCCCTGGCTGAGCCTTCTGCCCAGAGCCCCATGAAGCTGATGGGTGAGTGTCTGGGTCCCGGGAGGGGAGAGCTGCGGCAGCAGGCAGGGGTGCCTGGGCTTCCAGAAAGGTCTGCACTTCTCCTGAGCCCCTGTCTGCTCCCAGCCCTGCAGCTGCTCCTCTGGCACTGCGCGCTCTGGATGGTGCACGAAGCCACCCCCCTGGGCCCTGCCCGCTCCCTGCCCCAGGGCTTCCTGCTCAAGTGCTTAGAGCAAGTGAGGAAAATCCAGGCTGATGGCGCCGAGCTGCAGGAGAGGCTGGTGAGTGAGGGAGGCCAGCGTGGGGACGGGGAGGTGACAGAGATGCTGCAGCAGGACAGGGAGGAAAGAAGGCACACGGGGAGAGCTGAGGGAGAGAGCGGGGCTGAAGGGGAGCGTGGGAAAGAGCAGCAGGAAGGGACCGGGGTGAAAGAAGACCCTGGGGAGGGCGGCTGGTGAGGAACTGGGGGAAGAACCTCTAGGCGACAGTGAGAAGGGTTGGCTGGGAGCTTGGATGGAAGAAGAGGGCTGAGAAGCCTGGCAGGACGGGTGGGGAGGCGGAGATGTGGAGGTGGAGACCTGGGGGCGCTGCGGGGGGGGGGAGGAGGAGCTGCCCCCTCACCCAGCATCCTTCCCACCGCAGTGTGCTGCCCACAAGCTGTGCCACCCAGAGGAGCTGGTGCTGCTCGGGCACTCTCTGGGCATCCCCCAGGCTCCCCTGAGCAGCTGCTCCAGCCAGTCCCTGCAGCTGGTGAGTCCCGAGGGGAGAAGGGAGATGGGGGGGGTGGGTAGGCTGACCTGGAAGGCTCCCCAGTTCTCTAGGCTCCACGTGGGGGCCCTGAGGGGAGCATCCCAGGCGGTGTCCGCTGACTCTCCCACCTGACCCCCCAGACGAGTTGCCTGGACCAACTGCACAGCGGCCTCTTTCTCTACGAGGGCCTCCTGCAGGCCCTGGCGGGCATCTCCCCAGAGCTGGCCCCCACCTTGGACACACTGCAGCTGGACGTCACCGACTTTGCCACCAACATCTGGCTGCAGGTGAGTCTCATTGGGAGCAACAAGCTTTAAGGGCCAGAGCCGAGCTGGTCCCCAAAGGTGGTGCTGCAAGCCTGGGGCCCTGGAGTTCTCTAGGGCTGAGCCAAGTCCCTGGACCTGGTTCTTGTCCTGGCTCCACTGTGAACCCTGGATCTTCCATAGCCCATCAGCCCCTGGCCTTCCCTTCCTGTGCTAACACACCCTGACTGTTGACCTCATCTTCCCCCACAGATGGAGGACTTGGGGGTGGCCCCGGCTGTGCAGCCCACCCAGGGCACCATGCCAACCTTCACCTCAGCTTTCCAGCGCCGAGCAGGAGGGGTCCTGGTTGCTTCCAAGCTGCAGAGTTTCCTGGAGCTGGCATACCGTGTCCTGCGCTACCTTGCCGAGCCCTGAGCAGAGCTCTTCCCCTCTAGTGTATTTATCTCTATATTTAATATTTATGCTTATTTAAACCTAATATTTAAAGACAGGAAAGCACAGAAAGGAGCCCCAGGCTCCTGGGTCCTTCCTTCCACCTCCATGTGGGGAAACCCCCCGTCTTCCGTACCGGGGCTGGGAGGGAGTTGGTAAATACCAAGTATTACTTCTTGTGGCTGCTCCAGGCCTGGCTCTGTGGTGGGTTCTGGGGAGAGCCGCAGTGAACCCCTACCCTGAGGGTGCCCACCTCGGGGCCCTTGGAAGCATCAGGAAGTCTCCTAAGTGGGAGACGAGACAGCCCTGTTTAATATTTAAACAGCAGTGTTCCCCAACTGGGTCCTTGCCCCCTGGCTCCAGCCCTGCATTCAGGCATGAAGCCCAGCAGAGGCAGCTGGAGTGGGATGCTTGACCCTGGGGTCCCACGAATTTGCTGGGGAAACTTCTTCTTTTTAAGACATTTTTCAGGCACATTTTGACTCCTCATGTGGGGAGCCCAGGCATTAGTGACGCCTCTTGTTTTTCTGGATGTGCTATAGACGCCATGAGCCTCAGGACCCTGCTCCACCCCACTGGGGTTGGGGTCAGGATTCTGACTCTCTTCTGGGCTGGGCAGATGGTTGTGTGTTTCTGCCTTGCTGGGTGAGACTGGGAATGTGGAAAAGAAAGATGAGGGGGCTTATGTGACGGGGTGTGAGAGGAACACTCAACTGTTCACTTTCCACCCCAGCCCCCACTTTCTCCCTGTAGCCAAACTTTACGATAATAAAGTGTTTGTCTCCAGTAAATGGCCTTCCTCCTTCTTGAGTCCAGCTGGTGCCTGGCCAGGGGTTGCGGGTGGGGAGTTGAGTGGCGGGCGAGGCTCGAGGGAGGGAAGAGGAGGGGCAGTCATTCCTTGGCACCCACTTGGTATAGGCGCCAGGCCGGGTGCTGGGGCACAGCGGTAATGAGCCAGGCGTGGTCCCTGCCCTCGTGGAGCCACAGCCTAGTGGGGAGGACACGACGCAGATGGGTCAGCAGTACCAGGAGAGGAGAGAGTGGGCTGGGGGCTCAACACTCCAGATGCAGATGGATGTGGGCCTGACGCGGGGGAGGATCTAGTATTCGCTTCAGTCTACCACCTTCCATAAACCTTCACCCTCCTGTGCTCACAGCTGCCCATAAAGATAGGATTATGAAGGGCCTTTTACACAGACCAGGGAGCTGAGGTCAGGGCGACAGCTTGGATCAGACCCCAAATTCCAGGCTCTGCACTTCTCTCCCTCGTTGAGCTCTGCTTCTGACCTGGCGGGGAGCCCGCCGCCTGAACTCACACCTGGGGAGAATGGAGGGGCCGCTTCACAGCACAGGTCCGAGGCAAGCCTCTCGGCCAAAGACTGCACATGTGCTTCTGGGCTGCTGCCACCAGACCCAGGACGCCCAGACAGCCAACCAGTCCCCGGGTCCCCTCCCAAGATTCCCATCCTCAGCTCGAGCCGCCTCCCACTCCCCTTCCCCACTGGCTCCTCAGAAGCAGGGTCGGGCTGAGGGGGCTAGAATCCTGAGCTGTGCAGCTCAGGGTGCCCTCCCCCCGCAGCTGGTCCTGAAGAAGCCAGGGCTTGGAGATGCGTGACACAGGCAGGGAAGGGTTAAACAGAGCTCCTGCCCTCCTGCCCCATGGCCCCTCAGCCCCGCTCACCCTCATCCCCCAAGTCAGTCCTCCTCCAGAGAGGAAACTCCCGGTCAGTGAGACTCTGGGTGGGGCTTGGAAGGGCTGGGAAACATCGGAACGAACAAGACACCCTACCCCAGCACCAGCGGGGCCCTCAGCCAAAACCTCTCCCTTTTCAGAGTAAATCTGACTTTGCGAGCAGGGGGAGACAGCTGGCAGGTATGAGGAAGGGAAGCTGCTCCCGTGCCCTGCCCTGCCCCTACCAAGCAGACAAACACGGGAAGCTGAGCCTAGCCCTCCCCTGAACACCTCGCCTGCCTGCTCTACCACCAGACCGCACGGGTGCCAAGAAGACAGTGCTCTCCGCCCACGTCAGACACGGGCACCGATGGTTCTAAAGGGATCCATGAGGCCTTTATTTACAACTGAGAGGAGGTAAACACACCTCGTGTAAAAAAAACATACATACATATTTATATACACACACACACACACCCCCCCCCACACCAGTGAAGTTCCTCGGAGGTAAATCCACTCCGGGAAGGAGGACGAGCAGGTGGTGGGGGTGAGGTGGGGGCTGTTGAAGTGAGCCTGCTCTGAGTTAAGGAACCAGGCTGCTCATGCACATAAGGTACTGGCAGTGGGGAGAGGAAATTATGAAAGAAACTGGAGCCGTCTTAGAGGTCAGAAGTCAGGAGCAGGGGGAAAGATCTGGAAACTGACCAAGGGAGGTTACATCATGTGGATGTGAGCAACGATGGCTCATCGCGCTGCACGTTCCCTTCTGAGGCGCACGGGGCGGGAACCCTCCCGCCTGCCCCCGTGGCCACTCCAAGCCCCTCAGAGGGCGGCGATGGCTTTGGCGGCCACCTGGCGGCCCAGGGGCAGGCTAAGGTCCGTGATGGCCAGAACCACCTTGGGGCTGGACATGGCCGACACCTTCACCAGTTCCGATACCTGCCAGACAGACAGAAGCTAAGCGGGGTGGTGGTGGGCGTGATGTCTGGGGGAAGAAGCCCCTCCCTACTGGCCACTGGACCCTGAGCTCTCCTGAGGCTTGCTGACCCGCTCTGAGCTAGAGGGGGGCCGGCTGGGGCCCGGGGGCAGGGGTGAGGGGGTACTCACGGTGGTAAAGGGCATGAACTGCAGGATGCTGCCGCGGCTGCCCTGCTCCAGGCAGTCCACGCACTCCTCCATGAACCACTGAACAAACTGCGTGTGGGGGCCGGCGGTCCGAGAGCCCAGGATGGAGGAAATGAGCAGGAACAGGTTGGCTATGTGGAAAAGAGGCGGGAAGGAGAAGAATTCCATGAGAAGGGCTTGGGAAGAGGTCAGATTCTGGGAGAAGAAAGAAGTGCCAAGGGTGTCCCCAAAATGGGGACATCAGAAAGAAAAAGTACTTAAGAAAGCTGAGGGCGAGCCAGAGAAGGACTCGATGGGGGCCTGGGGGAGAGAGGAGAGCTGGCGGTCAGGGGAGATGGGCCAGAGGTGAGGAAGGGAAGGAAGCATAGGAGATGAGGTTCGGGAGCCGGGGTGGGAGGGCGCACCCAGGACTCGGTTCAGCGGATCTCTCATGTTGACCGTGTGGAGCTGGGAGGCCGACAGGGAGCTGCTCATGGACCGGTCGGCTGTTGGGACAAATGCGGGAGCATAGAGGAAACGGCCTCCTGTAATCAAAATCACTGTCCCAGGGGAAGCTCTCACCCTCAGGAGTGGCGGGCCCACGCAGAGAAGGTCCTTGGGTCCAGCCACATGGGGCCCAAATAGAGACACCCCCACAAGCAGATAAGAGAGAAGAACTAACGTTGGTCAGCACCACTAGGTACCAATCTGCAGGCTGTACACAGGTGAAACCACTAAATCCTCACATCTCCGTTTTACAAAGAAGCAGAGACTAAGATTTGCTAAACTACTAGCCAAGGGTCACTAGCCAAGCAACTAGCCAAGGGGTCTGTGGGTGGCAGACCCTTCATCTTTCCTCTGCTCAAGCACACTAGTCCCCAATCCCTCAAGGCCCCAGAAGAAGCCCCAGGCTCAGGAGAAACCTCTGGAAACAGGAAAAACTAAATGCCACAGGACACCCCTAGGGAAGCAGGTGGGGGGGCTGTCCTCCTGACAGGAAGAGAGGGGAGCAGTCCTGTCCCAGCCCAGGCCTGCTCCGGGCTTCAGGGCCCATTTCAGGGGAAGAAAGGTCAGGGCTGTGAGTCAAGGGCACAGTCTGTGCCTGAGGCAGTGAACTCACTGGGGTGAGGGGTGGGGATGGGCCAGCTGTGCACCCTGGGCTGGGCTGGGATCTGGGTAGCAGAGCTCCAACCCTGAGGGAGAGATCACAGCCACCTCCAATGTCTCCAGGGCAGGAAACCGAGCAGCCGTAGGGGACAGAGGGGGGCAAACGCCTACCACGCCCCCTCGGGCCAGCCAGAGGGATGCTGGGGCCAGAACAGAGCGGCTCTCTGCAGGAGGGAGCTCCCAGAAAGGAAGCGGCTGCCTGGCCCTGTCCACACACTCACTGGGACTCGAAAGGATATTTGCATCTTCCTCATTGGAGCTCAGCAGGCGCATCAGCTTCGAGGGCTGCATGTCGTCCAAGGGGAAGAGGCTGATGTAATCCTGGGGGGCAGGGGAGTCACATCACCACCCCTGCACCCCCACATCTCCCAGGATGAGAGAGGGGGTTGGAACTCAGCTGGGAGTCAAGTCCCCACAGGCCACAGGAAGTAACTCCCGGGGGGCACAGTCCCTCTCCCCACCCTCCCACCACCCTAGGGAGAGACCCTCCCCACACAGTGGCCCAGGGGCAGGGGCCATGCCTTGCTGCCTGTACCCAGGAAGGCGCCTCTTAAAGAAAGGCTCAGCGCACGTCTGCGGGCAAGGGAACGGGAAGGGGTGCCCTCCTACCTCGATGTCTTCCCGGTGTCTCTTCTTTTGGCGGGAGGACGCCTGCCCCTTGTGGGAGGAGTAGGAACTCAGGGCACACCAGACGGCCAGCCTGGCAAAGGGGTCCAGGAGAAGGGGGGGAATCAAAGGGGGCTTCAGTGCCCGCAGACCAGGCCCCACCAACAGGGCTTCCCCGCAGTCCAGCTTCCGGGGCAGGGCGCCCGACACCGGGCTGGGGGACTGGAGGCTCCGTAAGGAACCCTACTTGGCGAGAGCGGTGCCAGGGGGGTCCATGAGGCTGTGCCACTTGGAGGAGTCAGTGAGCAGGCCCGGCAGGATGTGGCCCAGCAGGACCAGGGCCGCCTGCTGCATGTCCAGACAGAAGATGGAGTACAGCAGCTCCACCGCGCGCAGCGTGTACTCCTTCCGCGTCTCCTTCAGCAGCTCCTGGGGGGCAGAGGAGGGGGACCCAGGAGCTGAGGACCCTCAACACGGGGCAATGACACCCCACAGCTCCCCTCAGAGCCCAGGAGCGCCCCAGGCGAGGACCAGCCTCTGGAGCCCAAGGAGCCTTCTCGAGCTGGGATTCGCCAGGCTGAGGAGCCAGACAAGCAGACCCAGCTCAGTCCCATCAGGCCTGTCTCTGGCAGTCTGAGGATGCCTGTGCCCATAGCCCACCCCCAGCACTCCCGTACCTTAATCAGGTTGTTGCAGAACCAGTAGACACCGCCCATGTGCAGCAGGGTGTCAAAGATGTGGATGGAGCGGCTGTCCACCCATCCCTTCTCCAGCACCTTAGCAAATATGTCCGTCAGCACCTCCTTGATGGGCCGCTTGGGGGGCAGCAGGTTCCAGTAGGGCATGGTGTCCATGCCCGTGGAGGGGAACTTAATCTGCGTGGCAGTCTGCTGCAGCACGTCCGCACACATGTGCTCCAGGATGGAGCTCATGATCACCACCCTGGGGGGGAGGGAGGGAGGGCCAGCAGGTTCAACAGCCGGGGTGGGAGTCGGGGCGGAAACATCCAGGCCCCACTCCTCCCAGGATTAGGCTTACAGAACCAGGAACCAGGCAATCAGCCCCATTCTGTGCAGAGGGAGGGGACAAGAGGAAGTTGCAAATCCCGAGCAGAGGTGACCCCACCAGCTCTGTGCCAGCACGGAGCCTGTGGAGGGTCGGTAGGGCACTTGCCTCTTAGGTCATTTCAGCTATATAGTCATACTTTTTCTCTCTCTCTCAGTCTCTCCCTCCAACTTCCCCTACCCTCCAGGCCCAGGCCTGCCAATCCTCTGGCGTCAATATTGATAAATACAATCACTTCCCTCTAGGCTGAGTGCTTGGGGGGGTTCCCCACCCGGCCTTGGCTTCCTCCCAAAGTAAACTGTTACTTCCAGGACAGGAACCCAAGGGCTGCCCCACAAGACTCTTCCCGGCCCTTGGTAGCTGGGCAAATATAAGTACATCCAGGAATTTCCTCATGACAGGAGTCTCTGATGGTGAATGCAGGCCTGAGAGCTAACTGTTCAGGGAACACTGTGGGGCGGGAAAGTCACCATGACTCTCATAGCCGCTTTTCCCACCTGTAGGATGGAGCCACAGATTTCCCAGACAGCAGTCAGGGTGCTCAGAATGGATTATATCAGAGAAAACACTCCCTGATTAGTGGAAGGAGGCGAGGAACAGAGTAGGTGCCAGGGGAAAAGATCCTTCCGATCTCATGTCAGTTCAGAGTTTATATTGTTTCGCTTAAAAGACATTCTGATGGCTACCTTGTGGGTCATCACTCATAACTTAAGGTTTGATGCATGCCCACATTCATAGCAGCACTAGTCACAACAGCCAAGAAGTGGAAGAAATCCATGTGTCCATCAGCTGAGGAACAGATAAGCAAAATGTAACATATACATACAATGGAATATCATCCAGCCTTAAAAAAGCAAGAAAGTCCTGACACATGGATGATGTCGTTGAATTCTGAGGAACATTACACAAACTGAGATAAGCCCGCCACCAAAAGATAAACATGATATGATTTCACTTATATGGGGGATCTAAAGTAGTCAAATTCACAGAAACAGAAGCTAGGATGGTGGTTGCCAGGTGCTTGGGGAAGGGCAGGAAGGGGTGTTGTTTAATGGGTCCAGGGGCTGGAGGAAGGACAGGAAGGGTTGTTGGTCCAGGTTCAGAGTTACAAGATGAAAACATTCTAGAGATGCTCCACAACAATGTGAATATACTTATTAACACACTACTGAACTGTACCTCTGGACCTGGTGGTACAGTGGAGAATCCACCTGCTGGTACAGGGAACACAGGTTCAATCCTTGGGCTGGGAAGATTCCACATGTCTCAGAGCAACAAAGCCTGTGCGCCACAACTACTGAAGCCTACAGACTCTAGGGCCTGAGAGTCACAACTGCTGAGCCCAAGCACCCTATATAGCCCACTCTCCGCAACAAGAGAGGCCACCACGATGAGAAGCCCATGTACTGCAATGAAGAGCAGTCCCAGCTCACCACAACTAGAGAAAGCCCGTGTGCAACGACGAAGGCTCAGCACAGTCAGAAAAAAAAAAAATACTGAACTGTTATCTTTAAAATGGTTGAGGTGGTAAATTTTAGATTATGCATTTTTTTTACCACAATGTTTTTTGTTGGTTTTTTTTTTTTTTTTTTGAGTTTTGAGTTAAGTTTTATTTGGGGCAAAATGAGGACTGCAGCCCAGGAGGCAGTATCTCAGATAGCTCTGAGAGACTGCTCCCTACCACAATGTTTTAAAAAACCTTATTGGATGGGTAAACAAACCCACACCCCGCTGAACTCAACACAGCTGAAGTTGCTAGGGAGGTCTTCCAAGTCTCTGAAAAGTCCAGGGAAGAAGAAATCACAGAAGATGGGGTGGGGGCAGGGTAGGGAAGGGGTGGACAGGCCCACAGCCTGTAAACACTACAGAGGGGCTCCACAGTTCCGAGGGAGGGACAGAGCTAAGAGAAGCACTGTTCCCACCAGTGAGCCCCCAGGACTCGAGCTCTCTGAGGGCAGGAGTCCTGGTCGCTTGGGGTCCGGAGACCGGCGCACACACACCGCATGCTGGGTTGTAAACACGCCCGGCACAGAGACACACACGAGCACTGCTGAATCAGTGAGTGAAGATGTGACTGAGAACATGCGTGAGCAGGCGAGCGGCATGTCTGGGGAGGCATGAGGAGACGGGAGCTTCCCTGGTGGCGCAGTGGTTAAGAATCCACCTGCCCGTGCGGGGGACACGGGTCTGATCCCTAGCAGGGGAAGGGTCCACATGTCGTGAGCGACTAAGCCCGCGTGTGCCACAACAAGAGGAGCCACCGCCCTGAGAGGCCCACACACAACGAGAGAGCGGCGCCCGCTCGCCGCCACTGGAGAAAGCCCGTGCGCAGCAATGAAGACCCAAGGTGTTCAGTGCAGCCTAAGTGAATAAACAGAGGATCTTCAAAAGAGGGTGAGAGAAGAGGAGGAAGAGTGGTTACTGGAGGGGCTGACTTCTCACGACAGACCTGCAGAGCTGGAGAAGGCAGGGCACGGGCCACTGACCTCTCATTGTAGAACTGCAGGGTGTTCTCGCTGTACAGTGGCCCTGCCAGCTGGCGGATCATCTGCAGCGACTTCTCACGCTCGTCCAGTCCCAGCATCCGCACGTGGGCCACGAGCCAAGCCACGGCGCACACTGCCAGACTGCATACCTTCCCCTTGATATTATCCGTGATTTTCTGGGGGAGGGAGAAAGAGTGACTGGGGCCTCCCGCCCCCTCCCTGGCCATCACTTGCCCCGGCCTCCGTGAACAACTCAGCAACGCAGTGGGGTCCGGGGCCACGTCCACGCCTCTTTTCACCACAAGTTTGATTTCCCTAAAGTCACCTGGTGAGGGGAGGTAGCTAAGGCTATGACTATAGGGGAGACCAATACCCACACAAGGGCTCCTGGAGGAAGGGTCTTTTTGTTTTTATGAAATGTAGCAAACTACTAAAGACTGTCTGTGCCTTAGGGAGAGGGAAGGCTGCTGAAAAGGGGGGCTACCTGGATGGACTCAAAGGCTAGCACCCCATTCTCCCAGGCGTTGAGGATTTCCAGGATGGCCGCCGAAATGTTGAGACAGGCTTCGTGCCACTTCATCTGCCTACACGGGGGTGGGACAGGAGAAAACACCAAGGGGGTGGGGGACGTGGTGGGGCTGAGGGAGGGGGTCCAAGCCTGCCCCCCCCTCACCCCGGGAGCGGGCGCCCAGCCACTGACACCAGCTTTATCTCTGAGGAGTTGTTGAGCAGAGCAACCAGGGACTCCACCTTGGTGGAGTCAGGCCGGAAGCAAGGGTGATCCGGGTTCAGGATTTTGCCCTCCTCGGGCATGCACGTCTGCATCCAGGTCTCAAAGAAGAACACCTCTCCGCCTGCGCTGGACTCAGACAGGATGACCTGAGAGAGGAGGGGGCGGGGGGCGCAGCAGCCTGTACCTGGGGCCCTGCCCCCTCGGGGCCTGAAGATCGGGGGACTGACTGGTCTGAGGGAGGAAGACGGGGCTCTGCCGCCACCTGGTGGTGTGTGCGGCACTGAAGGACCCGGGACACGACCAGGGGGCATCTGCTGACTGCGCGCTGGCACCTGATTTTTTGCAGCCAGGAGCACCAACTGGCCTGGGACGCAGATGTGGGGCAAGGGTGAGGCGGGAAATGTTATCGGTTGTTTCTGTCTCCTTTGTATCCACTTGGTGCCCCAGTGCTGACCGCTCCCCCTCACTCACTCACCTCTGAGCCATAGGTCTGGGCCACGTGGCACAGCATGAGGAAGGAGATGTCAAAGAGCAAGGCTCGAACCGAGGCCGCCTTGGCTGTGAAGGATGAGAAGGCTGACCCCGCAGCCTCAGGCAGGGGCCCGAAGGCCTTGGCTGGGTTGCCAGGGGCTCAGGAACTACCTCAAGGAAGGTCAGGGAACGAGTGGCTCCTTCAAAGCTCTAAGGCTCAGAATCCTTTTCTTGAGTTTCAACTGGAACATCATCCCTTCCTTGGAACCAAAGACTCCTAAACCCTCCTTCCCCCGCAACACCTGACCAACTCATCATGCTGATGGAGAGAGACAGACGGTGATCTGGGAAGAATGCTCTTCCCAGCATGACCCTCTTTTGAGGCTCCCCAAAATCTCCAGTCAGTCATCCCCAGGGGAGCACACAGCCTCCCCAGGATAAGCAAAGGCATCCTCTTCCTCCCCTGTTCTCTCCCCCACACCCCTCCTTCAGCGCCCCCGGGTCTGCAGTGTGCAGAGCTGACTTACTGCTCTCTTCACTGCGGTGTGTCGTGAATTCATTCAAACTGTGGAAAAAATGGAGACAGGTGGCATCAACCAGGGTCAGGGCTGAGCAGCGGCTGGGGTCGGGGGCTCTGCCCACTCAGAGGCGATCACTGGAGTCTGAATTGTGGGTTCAACTTAAACGGAACATCACTGCTACAGAAACAAGAACTCTTTCTATTTTTAAAAGATTCCAAGCCCTAGAGAACTGCTCGCTGAATGGAGCCATGTTCTATACATCAAATTCCAGGTCAATCCAAAAGGTCAGCAGAATGTGAGAGCCTCTTATTAATAAGTGGATATAAAAGCAATCTCTCCCCATCCCCTGTTCAACACCTCAACGCCTCACCAAACACCTCCTCCGCACCAGCCTTGGCTGAAAAGCAAAACACTCTTCACTTTAGAAACCCAGCCCTTGCCCAGTCTCCAGCTAGGATGCTCTGCCCTGGCCATCTCTAGGGAGACAGAGCCTCCAGTGCCTTGCCCTTCTTCTGCCCTCTCCTCCTTTGGACATGCCTCCCAGACCCTGGTCAGGGGCTCGACCTTCCTTACTTGATGAATTTCCGGGCGAAAGACTTCAGCTTCCCAGTGGCAGCAGCAGCAGCCAGCAGCAAGTCCAGGCTCTTCCCGGACAGCATGTGGCCCAGGACGCCCAGCAGCCCCTCCGGGGACTTGGAATGGTCTGCATCCATCGTCTGGGGACGAGACAGGACACCAGTCCTGGAGAACACTGAACTTCCCAGATACAGCCTAGCTGCAGTTTCTCTCTCTGCCTGTCTCCATTCTATGGGAGACCACGACCTGCAATTTACCCTACAACTGACTCCAAGCTGGAAATCTGTTCCCTGAATCCTCTGCTCTCGGATCCACCCTTCTCAACTAGACTGGGGTGAGGGCAGTGGGGTCAGTGGGAGCCAGACTGGGGTCTCTCTGCTGGGAGACTGTTTCCCACATAAGCAAGCAAAGCACCCACCACAGTGCCAGGCTGACTGGCAATGCTCAACACACACTCGTTTCCAGGGCACTTCCCTCACATTCCCCCTTTCTCGGCTTCCAAAGAAAATAGGAGAGAGAGAGGTCTGGAGCCTGTTTACCCATCTGGAAGTAGAGGGAACCTGGAAAGAGGGAAGGGCTGACCCTGGGGGTCAGAGATGGGCGAGCTCACTTTCAGGATGTTGGTGACTGTGGGCTCCGCGCGGAGGATCAGCCCGGGGTTAGGCTGGATGTTGGCATTTTCATCTGACTTCAGCTGAGGGGCGTGCTCCCGATCTGCTTTGCTGTAGCCAGGACCAGTTGGTCCAGAGAAGGTAAGAGGAACAGAGATGAATTCCTGACACATACCCTAGTCCAGTCCAGAAGCAAAGGAAGGTGAGAGTTAAAACCCTAACAGTGCAAAACCCTGGTCTGCAGAAATCAGTGTCTCTTGTCGCTGGCAACCCTAGGCATGGTTCCTGTCACCCACACTCAAACTCTAGACAAGAGAGAAAAGGCATCCAGCGGCCCAGGCTGGACACGAGGCAGGTGGTCAAGGGGCCCATGGGCCAGCCCGGGGAGTGCCCACTTACCGCTTAGCCATTAGGTTGTTCATACTGGCCTCAGACAGAAGCCCCTGCTTGCTACATTCTTGCAGTAGGAAATTTGTACAGTCACAGCTGTGAGGGAAAAAGATGATGGGGGATGGGATACAACATCCCTGGGGCCTGTTGCAGGGATTACTGGATGGTGGGGGTGGGAAATGAGGCCCTGCCTGACATCCTCCTTTGTTTAGGAGGAAGAACACTGTGAGCGCCTGAGGGAAGGCAGAGGGGCTCGGGCATTCGGCAACCATGGAGTGGCTGCCTCCTGCCCCTGCCAAGGGGAACGGACAAGCAGACGGTCCCCTGGTACTGACGGGCACAGAGGGCAGGGGGAGAGCCAGAACTCCTTCCAGTCAAGCCAGGTGAGCAGGGGGCCTCGTACTTGCAGCGCTGGTCGGCTTTGTCCAGCAACGGTGTGAGCTTCAGCAGGAACTCGAAAGCTGTATTGACATCCTCAGTAAAGTCCTGCCAGAGTAAAGTAAAGCCAGAAACTGTCATCTGGCGTCCAGGTCCTCCGCTCCGCCCACGGCCTGCACTGTAGGCTCACAAGGACACACTGCTGGGTACAGTAGCCAACAAGTCGGCTGTGCCCACCGCTGGCCTCCAGCGACCCAACGGGAATAGTATGGGGCATCACTGTCCTGCAGCCTGGCCCTGGGACTCTGGCCCTGGGCATCTCGGGCACCCTCATCTCCAGAGCAGCCTGGCTGCCTTCTGTGCGTGGATGCACAGAAGCTCAGGGATGGCCCCGCCTCCAGCCCAGCCCCTCACAAGAATGCACTGCTGCCCAGCTCGGGCCACGTGACCCTTCCCTGGCCCTTTTCTCCAGAGCAAAACCAAGGATTCACCTGTCCCCATGCCCCCTCCTCATTTCTTTTTTCTTTTTTTTTTATTTGACTGCGCCGGGTCTTAGACGCAGCACATGGGATCTTTAGTTATGCATGCACACTCTTAGTTACAGAATCTAGTTCCCTGACCGGGGACTGAACCCGGGCCCCCTGCATTGTAAGTGTGGAATCTTAGCTGCTGGACAACCAGGAAAGTCCCGCCATCTAATTTCTTTCACTCACCTTGTCCCCATGGGAGTATTTCTTCAACTTCACCAAAACCTGTGGAATCTGAAGGGCGAGGTGGGAGAAAAACAGGAAGCTCAATCTCCTCTCTCTCACCCAGAACGAAAGGCACACTCCCTCAGTCCCCCTGCTCTGGGTGGAGTCAGGGCCGTTCCTGCCCTGGGAGTGACAGCATTCTAAGAGCCAGATGAGACACGCCGGCGCTCAGCCTCAGAGCCCAGGAGCCTCGCTCCCACGGCTCAGTGAGGAAGTGCCCTTTGTGAAAGTGGGCTCCCAGAGCTGCCCCGCGCCAACATGGCTGAGGACTGCTCTCATGGCAGCTGTGTGCCAAGACACGGAAAAGGCCTGCCAAGCGGGCCGAAGAGCCTTGGGGCTTTTGGATAATGGGGGGGGACCGGGCAAGCTAGGCATGAAGCTGGAGGGGAGAAACCTGGGGCAAAGGTCCAGGGGGTTGCCACCCCTCCTGAGAACCGTCCCAACAGTGGCTCCCATAGCCCAGGTACCTTGAGGAAGGTGAAAGCTGTCCACTTGAGCTCCCCTGTGCCCTCAGGAGACTCGATGAGCCCCACGAAGCAGGCTTTCCAGATCTCCAGAACAAAGAGCGGGGTGGGGATATGCTGTGGGAAGACCCGAGGGTGAGCAAGAAGAGGGTGCCCATCCCACCCCAGTCTCCTGACCCTTGGGGACCCGGCAGGTCAGAGCCAGGCAGCACAGACATCTCCTTGACTCCTAAGCAAGAACCAGGGACGGCAGGTGAGATGGCAGAGCCACTCCACCTGACAGGACCACCAGACCTGGGACCCATCACCCACCGCAAAGCAGGAGAAACCCTGTATCTCCCAGCGAAGACCAGAAGAATCCTCCCTCCTGCCCCGCGTGGCCGGCCTGCTGTGGGGACAGAGAACCACCCTGGCCTCCCACCTGCATGCGTTTCACCATCATCAGCTGCTCCACCAGGGGCTGCGTCTCGCCGGTCAGGTTCATGGTGCCCTCGAGCAGGACCACTGCGTGGACTGTAGGGAAGCCAGTCTTGTGCAGCTGCTCAGAGTGCATGGACAGCATGGTGGGGATGCTGAGGGGACAGATACAGGGGACAGGTGCAGGGAGCAAGGCAGAGTTGGCGAGGCGGTGAGAGCAGAGGGGTGGGGGCCAGGGGCCACGTCTGCCCTTCCACCCCCACGGCCTTCCCTCCCTCCCTTCCCCAGGGTCACCCCGAGCGCCGGTACCTCCTAATGAGCGTGCCACACTGCTCAGCCTGGCTCCGGAGCTGGGGGTTGCTGAGATTGGCCAGGATCTCTCCAAGCTTCAAGAGACAATGCTCAATGGCCGTCCAAGAGGCTGGCAGAGAGAAGGAAATGCGGAGGAGGATGGGAACCCGAGGAGAGGGAGAGACTGGTCCCAAACCCCAGGGCCCACAGAACCACATGGGGAGGCTTCCCCTAAGGATGGCATGGAGGCTGGGGACCTGAGGGCAGCATGCACTGTTTCCAGAAGGGCGGGTGAGCACTAATGATGAAACCACCAGAAACGATTCCCAGAGGCCCGACTTTGAGGGGTCCCTCGCAGCTGACTTCAGAGACGAGGCACAACAGAACACAGGCAGTGACAGAGAGAAGTCCAGTGGCCGGAACAAGAAGGTGGCCCCGAGTCATTTCAAGAGTGGGCCAGCCTTGCAAGTGGCTACTGCTCTCCACCCCAGTCAGGCTGGATTCCTAAACAGCCTCTGTGTTCAGCCGCTATCTGGGCCTTTGCTCTCGCTGGGCCCCTCCACTCACCTCTGCCTCTCATACTCTCACTGTCCTTTAAGTCACTGTTCAAGCCCCAGCTCTTTTAACCATTTACCCAACTGGTCCAACCCACTGATATCCTACTCCTAAATGCCTGAACTCATGATCTACACTGTATAGTTTAGCACTTAATTGTAAGTCATTTATCCTAGTTAACACTTTCAGAGGGTCAAATGAAGAATAATGGCACCAACTAGCCCATTAACCTCCATGTAGCATGGGGAGGGTGGGGAGAAGAAAAAGATAAGACCTGAGAGCCAATAAAATTAAGTCAAAAATTCATTCATTTTTCAGCCAATAAACATTCATCAAGTGCTCACGATAGATAAGAAACCGTCCACAGAGCCCATTTTTTCATAGTGATCATCTTTCTGGACTTCTCACAGGCAATAAACCATATTTTCAGAAGTGATAAATACACGAATCCTAGAACCAGTTCTTCAACCAGGTCCTAAAGATCTATCTGGGTGTAACCCATTCCAGCACTCTCATTACAAAGAACAAGAGTTCCTTCCGTGATCCCAAGCCTCATCAGCAAGACTGTGGTCTCTGGGCCCCATGTCCAGCAATACCTGTCTTCCCTCCCACCAGGTGATCTGTCTGATCCCCAGGCTCTGGAGGGTTCCAGGATTTAACATCTGCACTTGAATTGAGAGGCAAATGGCACAACAGGCCCGAGAGCAGACCGGTACCACATTTAAAGGGATCTTTTAGGCAACACTCGAACACAAACATCATTTGCTTTCAGAGGATGAGTAACATGAAGACAAACACAAGGATGGATGGTGTGCTTGTCTTGTCTGCTCATTTTTTCCACGTATACTAGATACTAGCCTTGCTCCCCACTAGCAAGTATGCTCGTTGAGGGCAGGGACCCTGCCACATGCTCCTTTGGTAGCCCCCCGCCCCCCACCCCCAGCACCTGGCACAGTGCTGGGCATACAATAATGCTCAGTAAATACCTGTTGGTTGATTGGCTCGGGTGCCACCCTGCCCAAGTCCCTGGGATGTATGCAATGCTTATGGGGAGAAAAAAAAGGAAGTGGGATGATTTCAGATCCTCCTGGAAAAAAGTGGGATGGCATCCTGCCTCTCCCCTCTCAGTTAAAGACCCGGCTATGGGAGTGGTGGCGGGTGGGGCTCAAGGAACCAGGGGACATACAGGCCTCCTCCAGTTTGGCGATATGGAGCAGGGCCCGGTTCTTGGTGCTGCTGAGAGTCTTCTCCAGGCGTTGCAGGCACATAGCAAGCTGCTTCTCTCCGGCTGCTGGGGTGCCAGCCTCCAGCCCCTCCCGGAGCCGCTCTGCAGAGGCTGCAGTACAGCGCAGCAGCCAGTGGAGGGCGCTGAGCAGGGCCCGGCACAGCCCGATGCACTCCTCCGCTTTGCCATGACAGCTACCAGGAAAGGATGCAAAATCTGTCTCCGCTCCAAAGGCTGAAATCCGACCCACACCCATGTTCCCCAGAGTGCCTGGCCCTCCCTTACTAGGGAAGAGACTTGGGAAGCTAGCAAAGTCCTGGGGAAGACTGCCCTGTCGGCTTCCACTGGGTAAGATTTCAAATGAGCTACTCCAAATAGAGCAGAGGCCTTTTAGCCCTAAGAGAGTAAGTAGAAAAGATGGGGATGGGTGGGTGCGAAGAGCAAGTGGGGGAGAAGTGTGGGAACCCACAGAGATGGTTTGAGCCTGCATGCCAGGAGCTTCTCCTTTACACTCAGATGATGCTGGAAGGTTGCAAGCCCCTCGCTCCTGCCATTACCTCAGTCGGTCACAAAACATGTCCATGATATCCAGCAAAGCCTGAACACACAGGTCCCGGGAAAAGTCATCAAACTGTGGAGAGAACAGAGGCGATGCGATGGAGTGTCCCGGTCACCCCACATCCCCGTCTCCCACATGAGGCAGCTGGCACCTTCAGGAGCCCTGCTCATCTTTCCTCCAACCACAAGATCCACACTCGGCATCCTTTCAGTGTTGGAAATTGGCTCCTAATTGCCAGCCCCCACTCTCTAACGGAAGGCGGCCATGCCAGCCAGAGGTACACTGTGCTCACGGCCCAGCCCCAGAGGTCACATGATCAGGGCAGTCAAGGAGGTGGGGCCCCATATGTCACCGTATCTCTGTCCCCCGCCCCCCAACCCAGGCTGTGAGTGGCTGTGGTCCTACCTTGCTGATAGCTGTGAGAACGGAGGAGTAGGACACCATCTGGAGGGAAAGAAGAAAGATAAAGTTCAGACAACGGGTATGTGCAATCGAGAGGAACAAACATTGACACTTAAAGTTGCTGCAGCTATCTGGAAATCTCAACCCCTTCAAGAGGCCTTCCACAAGCCCCAAATACAGGCAGTAACACCAGGCATTGTGCCCATCCCTGCTTCTGTCAAACTCACTGTGACTGACAGCACCAGCATAAATGCACCGAGAAGATCATTTGGGGGATTCAAAGGGGTCATGTTTCATGCCCTCCTGCCACTCACTGTTCACCACACAGCACAAGGTTTGATTGCTGGTGGGCAGAAGAATGGAAACACGTGAGGTCATGATACTGCTACTACTCCTACCAAGAGTGATTTTATTTGGACAAAAACTGGAGACATACAAACTGTTCCCACAGTGAACAGGTAGCATTTACACTTTGAAATCGGTAGTGGATTTCATTATACACACGCATTCTCTAGGACGCCTCTGGGACACCACCCAAAGCTGAAATCCTCCCTTCAGTGCTCTAAGCAATCCCTTTAGACCCATCATGACACCGTGGACACCTGCTGCCCCACCAAACTAGAAGCTCCTTGAAGACCGTCTACGTGTCTTCATTCTACAATGTCTGCAGAATGAATACATAAAAACACACCCTCAGAGCAATATTTCCCAAAGTAGCTTCCAAAGCTGCACTGTCCAACAGGGAAGCCACCAGCCAGCCACACATGGCTGTTTAAGTTTAAATTAGTTAAATAACATTACAGATTCAGGTCCTTAGTCATACTAGCCTCATTTCAGGTGCTCATCAGCCACATGGGGCTAGTGGCTACTGTACTGGACAGTGCAGATATAGAACATTTTTTTTAGTATTTTTATTTATTTATTTGGCTGCACTTGGTAGAATATTTTTATCATTGTAGAAAGGTCTATTGGGAGATGTTGCTCCAGAGGGTCCTTAAGATGTTAAGAAATTTTATACATGCACACACATACACAGAGCTTCTGCATGAAATGAATTTGAGAAACTCTGAAATAAACATATACAAAGAGCTATCTTTAAAGTAAAGGATTCTTTCAGTAAAGAGCTTTCTTTGCTATAGTACTCCTCTTACCCATTAATGTAACTTGTACACAGTGAAAATCTCTAAGATCACTGGAGGTGAGGCAAGCAATACTTTTCCAACTTACTGACCAAAGAATCTCATTTAACATAACTGCAAGGCATATTTTGCAAAATGCCACCTAAACAGTGAGCTCCCTGAGAATAGAAACAGTGTTAAATTTATGTTTCCCCAGAACTCAGCCCGAGGACTACGACATAGTAGGTCCTCAGGAAGTTTTTATTGCTTTTGATTGACGAATTCTAGTAACTAGCATTCTAAAAAAAACTTTTACCTTAACACAATTTTCTATTAGTAAAACCTACTTATCACCATTATAATATCAGAGATGTAGTTCAAAAGAAATAATCTGGCCTGAATGAAACCAAACTTTACCAGGAGCTTTTAAGTTGTCATATTTTTAAAAAAATAATTATAGCATGCTGATCAAATATGAATAAGACTACAGAAAATAGTTCCAACTCTACACTCAAAATCAGTGGCAAAATATATCAAAATAAAAAGCAGAATACAATGATAGAAACTGTCAGGCTAATCACCTGCCTCATAGAGGAAGAAAAATTTCCAAAGATTTAAAAGAAAGCTAAGTCACCCTCAGTGACTCAGTATGGTGAATTTTACATGCTTGGCAATGCCTTCCATGTATAATTTCTCCATCACGTGAACAGGCTGCTCTCTGTTCAGACATTTTTTAACCAGTATTCTTGGATAAAGAGGAGCACAACACACAGAGGACTTAAATACACAAATTAGTGTTTAGTGCCACTCTCAGCGGGTCCTGCTGTGAAGCCATAGTTGGTGTCTGACAGTGGCCAGAAAGTTGGGAGCCTGCCTGGGCAGGATGACTGTAACGTTCCAGGCGAGTGTTTGTTTATTTATAACTGATGTCCCCATAGCAAGAGCTTGGCAGTGAACTGAACCTTGCTGGATACCGACCTGAAGGGGGAGCTGAACATTCCCACTGGAAACTGACCCCAAACTACAAGAGGAAACCCCCAAATCTGTACGTTTAAGGGATGCCATCAGTTACTGTGAATTTATAATCTCCAAATTGAGAATTCTGTTCGGTAAATTTCTGCTAACAGTATCAAGAGAGCCTTGCTACTTCAGAGACCTAAAAATACTTCCCACATGGTGAACTGTTTTTCACAGCAGGACTTATAACCTATCCCAGTCCTAATATATCTATCAACACAGAAGCTCTAACCTACCACCAGCCCCCAAGACTTGAGCCCATCTACAAGGCCCAGAGCACACCTGGCCAGCCCAGAGACCCTGCAGCTGCTCTCTAATCCCCTCTCTCTTCACATTCTATGCCCTCAACTGCTCCTAAGTGCCTTCTCCATGCACAGATAGCACTGGACCAAAGAGCCTCTTGAGTCTGAGGGGAGAATAAATTACTAATTTTGCACTGCACTTTTTAAGTCAGGGAGGTCTTTCAAATATATTTATTTCTCACTCACTGGTACTTCAGCCTCTACCCTCTCTTGCCTTTCCCATCAGTTTACATATCTCAAGATTCTTCTATTTTTACAAGAACCTCCCACAGACCCTACACTTCCAATTAACCACCACACTCTCTTCAGTCATAAGGGTTCTCCACCCTCTACCTCCCCAGCTTCCGTTCTCAATGTGACCCACTCCAATCACTTCTGTCCTTATCACCACTGCGTGAATCTCTCATTAAGCTCATCAACAAACTTGTTGTCAAATCCCATAGATACTTCTCAGTTCTGATCTCACTGACCTCTCAGCAGCATCTCACACCGGGGAACACCTCCTCATCCTTCGATCCTCTCCTCCCTGGGCTTTTTTTTCTTTCTTTTTTTATATTTTCTTGGCCACACTGCACAGCATGTGGGATCTCAGTTCCCCAACTAGGGATCGAACCTGCACCCCTGGAACAGAAGCTCGGAGTCTTAACCACTGGACCGCTAGGGAAGTCCCCCTGGGCTTTTCTTAATATCACACCTTCTTGCTTTCCTTCGTTCCTCACTGGTCCCTTCTTTGAACATTCCTATGAGGAATTATTTTCTTATGTATGTTCCTGAAATGTGACTGGTTCCTCAGAAATATGGCTTGGGTCACTTGTTTGTTCCCTCTACATGCTCTCTCTGGGTAAATCTCACCCATGCCCATAGCTTCAATCACCTGCAGCTGACAACTCCTAAACTGCCACTCCAGCATCAACCTCTCCTTCCGCGTCTCCAACACTGATGTTTAACTGAGTACTGAATATCTACTCCTGGACAACCCACACAGGCACCTTCCGCGAAATGAGGTCAGAATCAAATAAGGCATCTCCAACCTTACCTGCAACCAAACCCTGAAAATGGTCCTGCTCTTCTCCCGCTGTCTCCCTGAGATCCCATCAGCCATCTGATATCCGCATCAGAAACTGAGACACTAGCCTTGACTTCTTCCTCTCCTGCACACCCTTCATCCAATTAATCACCAAACCCTCTCAGTACCACTTCCTAAATTGTTCCTAAATTTATCTTTTTTTTTTTTCCGGCTGCCACTTCTCAAGTTTAAGCCAGTATCATCTTTTACCTAAATCACTGCAACAGCAGAAATCAGGGGCTGGAAAATGACAGCTTGCAAGCTAAATCTGGTTCATCACCTTTTTTTGGTAAATAAAGTTATGTCAGGGCACAGCCTCATCCATGTATTTATATGTCACCAGTATGTGCTTCTGAGCAATAATGATAGAACAGTGGTAACAGAGACCATACGGCCAGCTAAGCTGAAAGTATTTACTATCTGGTCCTTTACAGAAGAAGAAAAAAAAAAGCCACACTAAGCTGTCTCGCTGCCTTCTGTCTTACCTCCCTCCAACTCATTCTTCAAACTACAACCGGAGTGATCTCTCCAAAATTAACCTACAAATTCCCCAAATCCACAAAGTCGAGGAAACTGCAATCAAAATGCAATGGGCTTTTTTAAGAATTTAACTTGATTCTAAAATCTGACTGGAAAAGAAAAATGCCTGAAAACAGCCAAGAAATTTTTGAAAAATAAAACAACTAAGAGAATACTTGCCTAACAAGAATCAAAAATGCTTCAAAGGTATAGTAATTAAAATAGTAAAGCAACAGTCCAAGAAAAGACAAATATGTTAATGAAATACACTAGAATGTCAAGAGATAGACTCTCGTCTATCAGAGAATTTAAGATATAAAAAAGAATGGCTTATTCAATTAAAGTTAAGCTAATTGTCTGTCTATTCAGAAAAATAAATTTGGATCTCTTCCTCATATCAGAATAAATTCTAAATGGGTTAAACAAAGTGAAGTGTTGGCAGAAATGAAAGATTATATTTTGATCCTTGGAGTAGGGAAGCCCTTATGAAAGACAAAAGTCATATAGAGGAAAAAAGGCAATTAAATCTGAAAACAAATACATTTTTAAAATTCTAGGGAACACCCCGGTGGTCCAGTGGTTAGGACTCTCCACTTTCACTGCCAAGGGCCTGGGTTTAACTCCTGTTTGGGGAAATAAGATCCTGCAAGCCACGTGGCACTGCACTCCCCACAAAAAATGTAAATAAAATTCTGCATGCTGAGAAAAGAAAACAAGTTTAAAAACTGATAGAAAGAAAATTTAAAACATAAATAACAGACAATAATTACAAGATACAACATATTAAAAGACACAAAAATCAGTAAGAATTCTTGGGGTGATAAAAATGGTCTGAGTTTACTGTGGTAATGGTTGCACAATTCTAAATATACTAAGAATCAGTGAACTGGACACTCTAAATGCACAAAATGTATGGTATGTGATTTATGGGCTTCCCAGGTTTCTCAGTGGTAAAGAATGTGCCTGCCAAGCAGGAGATGCAGGTTTGAACCCTGATGGGTCAGGAAGGTTCCCTGGAGAAGGAAATGGCAACCCACTCTAGTATTCTTGCCCGTGAAATCCCATGGACTGAAGAGCCTGGTGGGCTACAGTCCATGGGGTTGTAAAGAGTCAAATACGACTAAAGTGACTTACCACTTATGTACATACACAAAATTCTTACTTAAAAAATAAAGAAAACAAACTAATGATAGAAAAATGGGCAAACAAAATTCGTAAGTAATTCACAGAATGTATACAAAGAGCCAATAAGCATATGAAAAAATATACTCAACATCACAATCGTGGATATACATCTTATAATATGTTGTAATTTTTTGTCTCTCTGGAAAAAAAATGTTAAAAGATTCAATGCTGGAAAAGGTGTGGAGAAATACTCTCAAGCACTAGGGAGCAGGTGTCAACTGACAGAATCATCTTTTGAGGGCAATTTGCAGGATCTATTATAATTTAACACATGTGCACTCTTCAAACCAGCAACTCCATCTCTGTGTATCTATTTTAGGGAAACAGTGCCAGATATGCAGAGAAGTTAAGTATAAGAACATTCAAGGAAATACTGATTATAATGGTAAAAAATTCAAAACAACCTAAATTAAGTATATATGGAACAGTATGCAGCAGTTAAAAAGAACAAGGTAGGAAAAAAAAAAAAGAACAAGGTAGGGACTTCCCTAGTGGTCCAGTGGTCAAGAGCCTGCCTTCCAATGCAGGAGACACAGGTTTGATCCCTGGCTGGGGAACTGAGATCCCACAAGCCAAGGGGAGCCCATGAACCACAACTAGAGAGCCTGCAACTACTGAGTCACAGTACTCGAGAGCCTGTGCTCTGCAATTAGAGTAACCTGAGAGCCAAAACTAGAGAAAGTCAATGCGCCACAACGAAGACCCAGTGCAGCCAAAAAAAAACAATAAAGTAGATGAATATGTGCTAACATGGAAATGAGACTTGATGCCAAGAGGAAAAAGGAAGCATAAGAACTACGTGCCAACTGAGGAATACTACTCAGCAAATTTAAAAAAGGATGAACTACTGACATATACAACAACATAAAGCTCAACATTTATGTTAAAAGAAGACAGAGCATTAAGAGTTAATACTAAATACGAGTTCATTTCTATGAAATCCAAATATAGGCAATATTAATCTATGGGTATAGAAAAAGATGCTGAAGCGGAAACTCCAATACTTTGGCCACCAGATGTGAAGAACTGACTCCTCTGAAAAGATCCTGATGCTGGGAAAGATCGAAGGTGAGAGGAGACAGGGACGACAGAGGATGAGATGGCTGAATGGCATCACCAACTCAGTGGACCTGAGTTTGAGTAAACGTGGGGAGTTGGTGATGGACAGGGAGGCCTGGCGTGCTGCAGTCCATGGGGTCGCAAAGAGTCGGACACGACTGAGAGACTGAACTGAACTGAATAGAAAACATTTAGTGGTTACAGGACGATGGACTAGAAAGGGCACAAGGAAACTTTCTGGGAGAATGGAAATGGGTCTATCTTATTTTGGATGTTAGTGACATAGGTAGACACAGTTACTAAAACTCAAGGTTAATTGAAAGGGAAGAATATTTTAATAAGCCTTTCATTTCTGAAAGGCTTATTAAAATATTCTTCCTTTTTCAAGCTAAATATCTGATGTGCAAGGCCAGATTTTCTTCAGCTGAAACAGCCTATTGCAACAACTGAATGCAGAAGCAGCTATGAGAATTCAGCTGCAATCTATTACGCCAGAATTAAAGAGATCTGCAAACATGTAAAACAATGCTACTTTCCTCACTCATTTTTGTTTTGGAAAATATGGTTACTTTTTCATTAAAATGTTACATGTATTAATATACAATGGGTTTACTTTTTGTTACTTTTAAATACTAAGTATTTTTTCAATTTTTTGTTTTAATTTCTAAAGTGTTAAATATGAATAGATATAATACATATAAACAAAAGCTCTGCAGGAGTCTCAATTTTTAAGAGTATAAAATGTCCTAAGGCTAAAATTGCTACTCTAGCCATTGTTACTGTTTAGTTGCTAAGTGGTGTTCCAACTCTTTTGGGACCCCATAGACTGTAGCCAGCCAGGCTCCTCTGTCCATGGGATTTCCCAGGCAACAATGTTGGAGTGGGCTGCCATTTCCTTCTCCAGAGGATCTTCGTGACCCAGGGATTGAACCCGTGTCTCTTGCTTTGGCAGGCAGATTATTTACACTGAGCCACCAGGGAAGCCCTACCCTACTCTAGCCATATCATGTTATTTTCAGTTCCTAAATATCATGTGATGTTTGTCTCCCAACTGTTGCCTATTCTTTTCTCTCTGCTTTGTACACTCTCATCAATCTCTTTGGCTAATTCCCACTCAACACTCAAGTCTTGGTTTAAACATCACTTCCTCCCTGGTTGCTCAAGCTGGTATTAGGTTTCCCTCCCATGTACTCCCATAGTACTCTGTCCTATATCATAATCCCATCCTGTGATTGACTGCTTATTCACATGCCTATATTACTCACTAAATACCTGTGTGCTAGGATTAGACCTTGTTCACAGCTAAATCCCCAGGGCATATGTGAATATTTATTGATAGAGTAAATTAATGTAATATTCATCATAACCAATGGAATATTATTTTCACAAGAAAACTGAGGCTCAGAGAAATGATGTGTTCAAACAAATAAACCTAGAATATTTGAGCTGACAACTGTATTCCAAGCCTTTCACCTTCAAACCCTGTCTGGAACAGGCAGAATAGTTTACCTGGGAACTAATGGCATACTTCAGGTAAGACAGGATGAGAGGATTGGGGGAAGGTCCAATCATGGCCTGCTCCAGTAGTGCTTCTGCAAGGAGAATGACAAAGGAAGACTCAGTGTTACAACATTTCTGGGTTTAGCCCTCCCATCCTTCCTTCCTACTTCACTTAAGACCTGCTAGGTTGAGAATGTCCCAGGTGGCTCCCTTGGGAAAGAATTTCTTCATGTTGACTGCCCACTGGTAGTCACTCCATCGCTCTTTCCAAGCTTGCAAAATGGCTTGCTTCAGGTTCACCACCTTCATGATTTCACTCTGAGGAGACCGGGCCGGTAGCGGTCAGCCTTGAGGTTGGAGAAATCAAGCTAGAGAAAGGGAAAGGGATTCTGAGGCAAAGAACCGGGCGGGGGGATGGGGGGTGGAGCACAGACTTAGATGGAATGGAGTCAATATAGGAAGATTAAAGGGAAATAGAATTAGAAAGGAAAAAAAAGGGGAAAGGGGCAAAACAGGGATCCTATTAGGCTATTCCCTCCTGAACCATTCTTTAAACAAGAGCAGTAAGAAGAGGGTACCAAAGCGGCTTACTACAAAGAATAAATGGGCAGTAAGGGGTTAAGCCAGCTCCGGTAGCCTAAATATGCCCTTAGCTCTGGCTGCGTCCCTCAGCCACTACTACCCCAAATCCAGATTTGTCCCCCCCCATTTCCTCCACCCTCGCCAACCCTGAAACTATAATTCTCTATTTCCTTTCCATCCATCACCTCCCCAAATTTAAGCCTACCGGACAATCTAGTTCTAGATCCTAGGTGTCGCCATTTTGGCACTTATAAAAGAGCTAGCTCTCTATTGGCTGACAGTAACAAACATGAACCAATAGGAAGGCAGCGAGACATCGCTCATACCACGATGTCTTCTGGGAATTGCAGTCCCTTGCACTCAGCTAGCGCGGAAGCTGCGAGAAGCTAGTCAGCCCGCATTGTTTCTCTCCTTGAGGGAAAGACGAGTAGGAGCTGAGGATCTCGGAAACTCAGGAGGCTTAGGGGGAAAGGCTCTCAAAAGGCCTACTGCAATCAAGTTTCTTCTAGTAACGTCATTGTCGACCGAGCACTTAAATCAAATCCTGACACCCTTTCATTGCCCGCTAGTTAGTAGGCACAATAGGGGTGTGGCATATGTTCATCCATAGGTTTTCTCTTTCCTGGCTCTTTTTTTCCCTCCAAAACCCCCGGATTTACCAGAATTCTTCTCCTTTCCACAACTATATTCCAAAGTGACACTGAGTCTCTGTCATTTGAACACACCTCACCCACCCCTTCACCCTAAAATCTGACAGCTCTCTCAGAATCTCCTGGCACAGCCAACCTCTTGACTAAGGAAGAAGTAAGGAGGAAACTGAGATTTAGGAAATCTAAGATAAGGAAAGTCTAAAAAAAAAAAAAAAAAGATAAGTCTAAGAACCTGTCACAATCAAGAGGGCCTAAGGAGACATGATGACTAAATGTAACTTGCTATCCTGGATGTGATCCTGAAACAGAAGAACCTTAGATGAAAACTGAACAATCTGAATAAAGCCCGGACTTCAGTTAATAATAATGTATCAATGTCAGTTAATAATAATGTATCAGTGTCAGTCATTAATGGTAACACCTACCATACTAAGTAAGAGGTTAAAGGGGTAGAGATTGAAAGTGGGGTATATAGGAATCCTCTCTCTCTTCAATATTTTTCCTATAAATCTAAAACTAAAATTCCTTTTTTTTTTAGAAAAGTATAGAACATATTTTATTTATTAATGATGCTAGTTTATTAATGTAAATTTGTACATTAATGTAAATAATGTACATTATTTACTAATGTAAAAATTCCAAATAATTATATAGATGGTATGAAAATTATGTAAATTAATAGAATAAATAAAATTCAGCTGTGGATTACAGAGTTAATACACTACAACCAAAGAAAGTTTGTTATTTTATGTCTTAAAACTGGAGATAAAACATTGAAAAAAAAATGTGCTGTTCTCTCTGAACATCCCACCCTTGCCTTCTCCCACAGAGTCTAAAAGTCTGTTCTGTACATCGGTGTCTCGTTTTCTGTTTTGCATATAGGGTTATAGTTACTATCTTTTTAAATTCCATATATATGCGTTAGTATACTGTATTGGTCTTTATATTTCTGGCTTTCTTCACTCTGTATAATGGGCTCCAGTTTCATCCATCTCATTAGAACTGATTCAAATGAATTCTTTTTAATGGCTGAGTAATATTCCATAGTGTATGTGTACCACGGCTCCCTTATCCATTCGTCTGCTGATGGGCATCTAGGTTGCTTCCATGAGATGGGTGCTCAGGGCTGGTGCACTGGGAAGACCCAGAGCGATGGGATGGAGAGGGAGGAGGGAGGGGGGGATCGGGATGGAGAACACATGCAAATCCATGGCTGATTCACGTCAATGCATGGCAAAAACCACTACAATATTGCAAAGTAGTTAGCCTCCAACGAATAAAAACAAACGGAAAAAAAAATGTGCTTACCTCTAGGATTACATGAATAGTTTCTCATAAGTGTTAGTTACTTGGTCGTGTCCAACTCTATGTGACCCCATGGACTGTAGCCCTCCAGGCTCCTCTGTCCCTGGGATTTCCCAGGCAAGAATACTGGAGTGGGTAGACTTTTCCTTCTCCAGGGGATCTTCCCAACCTGGGGACCAAACCCAGGTCTCCCACATTGCAGGAAGATTCTTTACCATCTGAGCCACCAAAGCTACCTGTTTATGTTTCTTCTCTTTTGCTTGGTCTTACTCTGCTGGATGAAATTTTGGGAAAGTGTCATGACTTTTCAGGTCATTGTTGGTGCTGAATGTTCAGTATAAAATTCCTTTTTAAAAAATGTTTATTAAAAGCAGTATGATTAGACTTCCCTGGTGGTCCAGTGGTTAAGAATCTGCCTACCGATGCAGAGGACACGGTTCTAGCCCTGATCCGGAAAGATTCCACCTGCCGAGGAGCAACTAAGCCTGTGGGTCACAAATGCTGAGCCCAGGCTCTGGAGACCAAGAGCCACAACCACTGAAGCCCACAGGCCCTAGAGCCCATGCTCTGCAACAAGAAAAGCCACCAAAGTGAGAAGCCCACAGACCACAAGTAGAGAGTAGCCCCCTGCTCATCTGAACTAGAGAACGCCTATGCTCAGAAACCAAGGTCCAGCACACCCAAACATAAATTAATTACTTTAAAAACACGATGTCTTGCTTTAACCTACGGAACCACATTATAGATAATTATGTCCAGTGTTTGGAGTATTAGCCTTTCTCCAACCCCACTTCCCCAGTGAGAAGCCAAAAGTAAATGCTACCCACCTCTCACTCGAACGGCTGAGCCTCTCTGCACACAGCCCTCATCCCTGTCCTGCCCTGTGGATAGATCGCCACTAACATTTACAACCAGAAGTACATTTACAACCCGAACAAGCCAGTGTCCTGCCAGCCCTATTTTCAGCCCTCCATCCCATATCACAGGGAACCTCAGATCCCCACCCATGAATCCAAGCTCCATCCATATTTCCCAGTCACCATTCTTTGGTCACCCTTTAAGTGTCAGACTCAGTTCTCAGAGGGATGAATCTGGAAGAGCAGTCCCCTCAGGCTCTGGAAGCAAACCTGCAGCTCTCGGGGCAAAAAATGACAGGATCCTGGGTGTCTGTAGCATAGTCTAAACAGGGAGACCAGAACTCCTGTTCTGAAGATGAGAGTGCAGCTGGAGGAGACCCAGATCACATCCCTCTAAGGTCATGACTGCTCTCAGCTTCCTCCTTCCCCATAACCCACCCACAACCCCCTCCATTCTGCTCCCTTTAGTGCCTGCCCAAGCGACACCACTGGGGAATAATGTTTATACAAAACAGCTGCCAAATATGTGTAGCCAAAGCTTCCAAAGCAGGAAGGAGGGAGAACCCAGACTTCTCACACTTGACCTCCAAACTCCCCTCAGCCACACACATTGAAGCCGCCACAGACCCTGTTTCTCAGCAGTCTCTCATGTAACCAGCTTCCCTGCTTCTCCCAGGCCCCCAACTCTACCTTTACCCGCCTCCCTCCTCTTATTCCTTTTCTGTCACTGCAGCTTCCAGCTCCCCACCTTGACACATCCATGCCTCCTGCAGCTCCACTCCCATCCCACAGAGCCCAAACTGTCCTCTCAGAGAAAAGCTGTCAACCTTGTGACTGCTTCTGACTTGGTCCACATGGGAGTGGAGAATGTCTGGGCCCTGAGCAGAGTGGCATTCTGAACTCAGACCATCCCCTTCTGGCAGGAAGCTGGCAGACCTCTGGGGAGGGGCTCCTCCTCCCCCACTTTACCGTGGCAGAGAGGCGGCTTTTGTCGTGAGACCATCTGCCTTCCCTGTCCCCCACCTCTCACCAGCAGCTCTTTCTCTTGGTTTGGCAGGGTTTCCCCAAGGACTGGACTTCTAAGGGTTTAAAAGGACACCCTTTTTTTTTTTTTTTTTAATTTTGGCTGTGCCACACAGCTTGCAAGATCTTAATTCCTTGACCAGGGATTGAACCTGGGCCCTCAGCAATGAAAACACGGAGTCCTAACCACAGGACTGCCAAAGAATTGGCTAAAAGGATTCCCTTAGTTCTGGGTAAGGGCTATTTCCAGTTTTTCTACTTTGTCCTCTCTAGTGTGTCAATTTCAGAGACTGCTTTTCCATACCCCACCTCTTTCCTCCATACCAGAATAGCTTCTAGGGCCCTGTAGGCTCTCTGACTTGCCCGCCACAAGACCGGGATTCCATGATAATCCTCCAGTGGGTGAGAGAAGAGATGCCAACATCCTCTTTGGGAGTAGAAGGAAACCCTTCCCACACACAGCCCCTCTCAAATATCCCTCTTACTTACTCCACTTTCCTGGGCTGTTTCTTCTCTCTCAGCACCGATAGAAGCTGAGCTCTCACTTCCACCCTCTTAGCCCCAAGGTCCAAGCTTCTCATTCTGCTAGCTGGTCTGGCTGGGAAAGGGGACTGGCTGGAGAAGAGGGGCAGGTAAATGCCAGCCAGCCAGGTAGAACTTCCCTAGTGGTCCAGTGGCTAAGACTCTGCTTCCAATGCAGGGAGCCTGGGTTTGACCCCTAATCCGGAAACTAGATCCCACGTGCCACAACTAAGAGTTTGCATGCCCCAGCTAAAGATCCCACAGCTGCAAGTAAAGATCCCATGTGCTGAAACTAAGACCCAGCACCCTCAAATTAAAAATGAATAAAAATAAATAAATAAAAAAGCTAGCCAGGCAGAGTAACATGGCA